TTTCCCTACTCTCCTTATCCAGTCCATCAACCAGTCCTGTTGAGTGCACCTCTAAAACATATCCTGAATCCATTCCCTTTTCACCATCTTGGTCTAGGCCATTGTTTTGATCGCTGTCAAAGAAAAAAGAATTCATAATTGGTATCCCTTTTTCATACTTGCCTCCCAAAAGTCCATTTTCCACTCTTTAAGGCACAAAGGAGATTATTTTACTTCCCCACCTAAGACCCTTTTTAAGCTTTCCATCACACTTAAAAAAACAAACTGAAGTAGGGTCTATAACGTCTAGAATGATCTGGCCCCTGTCAGTCTCTCTGGCTTCATGTTGTACCATTGCCCCACCTAACTCACTTGCTCTACATTAGCCACTCTGGCTGCCTTTCAGCCTTCAAAATCACCAGGCTTCTTCTTGACTTGACAACTTTGCACTTGCTGCCTCCTCTACCTAGAACTGTTTTTGCCCAAATCTTGGTTGGCCACCCACTGCTGTTCATTGAGGATCAGCTCAAATATTGCTTCCTCAGGTCTCGACCCCTGACCACCTAAATAACATAACTAACTCCTCAGTCACTACTCTCTATCCCATTTCCCTTTTGCCCTCTTTTATTTACTGGATAGCACTTATCTCCAGCCAGACTTAATCTTATTTGTTTTCATATTTCTTGGTCTGGCTCCCCACTAAACGCTCATGAAGGCAGAAACCTCGTCTATGTATCTTCAGACCTAGGACAGTGCCTGACACATAGTAGGTCTTCAGTAAATAATTGTAGGATAAATAAATGAATGGTATAAGAAAGGCATGAACAAATGACTCCTCCTCTGGCTCCCATGCCAATGGAGACCCAATGCTGAAGGGACAACAACAGAGGAAGGGTCTGGAAAGAATCTTCAACAATCATATACAGGACAGTCTCACTCCCACCATCACTCACTATCCCTGGATAGCCAAGAGTTGACAGTATTTACTCCTCCCTATCAGTGATTTCCATACTTTTTACTTTATCATCCTTTAATTATATATTTAAATTAAAAATACTTCCTCTGTTCTAAAAGGGTTGGTTTTGTTTTGTTTTTTTTTTTAAAGTAAACTTTTGATAATCTTTTGAAAATTTGAGGTCATTTTCTAAGATAGTTGGAAAGATGTTTTAGAGTATTATGAAACTAGGTTTGAGATGTTTCCCCATCTCACTTCTCAATATTATATTTACTTTGAAGTTCCAGAATTAAAATTGAAGATCCTTAAAGGGAGAGGGTCCTAAGGGTCTGAGTGATTACAAACATCTCACATTCATCCGACATTTCTCGTATTGGCATATCCCAGGCATGTCCCTATAGTAAACCAGACTATAAAATTCTATTTAATCATTGAACCTTTATTGAGTGCCCATTTTATAAGTTTTGGGGATGCAAGCATTAATGTGACACAGTCCCCTGCCCCCTAGAAATGGATAGTGGAGGCAGGGAGTAAATATTAAACTGAAAAATAGAAATATATGAAAACATTTATAGTAGAGGTAAAACCGCTAATTCTGCCTTTGATGGTTGGGAGAAATTTTACAGATGAGGTGGCATTTAAATTAGGTCATGAGTAAGATCTTTCTAGATACAGTGAAAAGGTAGGGAAGGGAAGGAGCCTTCTAAGCAAAGGGAACAATAGATACAGAGACACAGTCTGATGAGAGTATGGGGTGTTTGGAAAATGTTAAGGGCAAGCGTGGGGAATAGAGCAGCTGTAAGTAAAGATGTTTGCTGTCGGATAGTAAAGGGCCTTATAGACCAGACTGAAGTTTGGCTTTTATCTAGGCTGGGAGGAGCATTGGATGTTCAAAAACTAGATTGGGCTTTTAAGAAGGTAACCCTGGTCATTGTACAAATACTCTACATGATAGATTAGAATAGACGGAGACTAACTATAAACTTAATAGTGATTCCTATAGTCCAGACCAGCAAAGAAGACCTGGATTAATCTGGTGAAAATAAATAGATAGATAGATAGATAGATAGATAGATAGATAGATAGATAGACAGACAGACAGAGAGATAGAGAGATAGAGAGATAGAGAGATAGAGAGATAGATAGATAAAAACTATATTTAAGCATCAGATTCAAAAGCCTTAAAAATGCTCATAACTTTTGACCCTACCAGCATATATCCTAAGGAAATGACCCACAATATAGAAAAATGTTTTGGATACAGAATGTTCTTTCATTACAGTACTACTTTTAACACCTTAAAGTTGGCAGCCCAATAAGGGAACAGTTAAATAAATTTACTATTCATATAACGTAACAATAACAAATATTATGAAGGTAATTGCAAATTACATTTGTGAGAGTTTTTTATGTAAGAAGAAATGCTGTTTTGTGTCAAAAAAAGTAAGATCCCAAATTCTGTGCACCTTAAGATCTCTATTAGGCATACCACCAGCTTTTCTGCAATGACGTGTATTACTTTTATTATCAGGAAAAAAAACATATTGTTTTAAAAGAAAACAGGAAATTTAGAGAGAGGGTGGGGTAATAGAGGGCATGGCTACTTCTGGAGTTCGGGCTGTCACTGGTATTAGGACTTCAGGAGGCAGTATGAGAACATGTCTTTCCTTAATAACCATTTACCGGCCACTTGCTGTCTTTAGTTCCGGTAAGTGAGCAGAATTACATTCTTTGCCTTAAGTCATTCTAGTAGGAAGCTCACAAGGGCAAATAACTAACTAAAGTGCGGGGTAGTCAGAGTTAGAGGGATGGGCAAAGCCTCATGAGAACAAAAAGAGGAAGAAGCAACCAGCTCATTGTAGGTGGTCTGGGAAAACATATGAGCTAGGCCTCAAATCATGAGTAATAATAATAGCTACTATTTATGAAATACTGTGTGCCTGGTACCATATGTATTTTTTTTCTAATCCCTTCATTAACCCTATAAGGAAGATATTATCAACCAACCCATTTATTCAACCAATATGACTTGAGCACCTTCCATACTCTTTTCTAGGCTCAAGGATATAGCATTGATCAACACAGACAAAAATCTCTGCCATCATGGAGCTTACATTCTAATAGGAATAAAAAGAAAACTGAGGCTCAGAGAGGTCTTACGGTCACTTGCCCATAGAAACAGACTGAAGCTGGACTTGAACCCACAGTAATTTACATCCACTCACCAGATGGGAAAGAGGGAATAGGGCCTGCTGGAAAGAAGAAACAGTATGGTAAAAGCAGAGAGACAAGGAAGACATGGTATGTTCAGAGAACAGGGAATAGTATCCTGGTGCCAAAGCATCAAAAGACCATGAGGACCCATTTCTGAAGGGTCTTGAGTGCCATGTCAGGTGGAAGAATTGGTCACCGTTCGGGATGGTATGATCAAGCTAATGTCTGCTAATATAACAATGCTGGACAACTTGAATGGACCTCCATGGCTTTTTTACAAGGGCAGCAATTTAAAGTGTTTTTATACCTCCTGCTTTGCTTTCGCACATACTAAAGTCAGGTTGTGTGGGTACTTTTTAAGCCTTTCCATTGAATTAGGAAAAATATCTTCGTTATGTAGGTGCCTTTTGCTGGTATATTCAAGGCATAGTGTGGTTTCAGATTAGCAAAGAAATTCCTTTGGAAAAGCTATCAAGAACCAATGAGCTTTTTTCCTCATATTTTGATATAAAGAGGTAATTTACTTAACATTCTGGTCCTGGAGTATTTCTGTGATCGGTCAGCCATTTTCAATACTATTTTTCTGTCTCAAGCAACATGCAGAATCTGGGTTTGATGAAACGTTATAATGTACATGAAATGGGAAATGAGTCTTAGGAAGATGACCCTTTTTTTTTTTTTTTAAAAAAGTTTTTGCTTATGTAACTTGCAGATATTTCATACTTCGAGACTGAGATTTGAAAAACTATTTGGTCTCAGGTGATAGTTTAAATTGATCTTGGGACTTGGGGAAAGATTTTAGACTGTTCACTAGACAGCCAGAAGAAGACAGCAGGCCCCTCCCTGTTTACAGGTGATAGGCAAGTCTCTTTAGGAAACGAAACCACATAGTCTCTCTCCAACCCCTCTGCAGAGCCCCTGAGGGTTTGCTCTCAGATTCTGCAGCCTCAAGGGCAGTATCTGGGTGGCTGGTGCTAGTGGACTCTTGCTGTCAAGGATAATAAAATCATCACTATTAGTGACTTGTGTGGAAGCACATCAGTGGATCAGCCCAGTCTCCTCAGTTAAATTGGAGCATAATAAATCCAAACTTTGGCAAATCTTAATCATTTCGTTTCCTACAACTTTCTTCTCTTGGCCACTGTTTTGCGGTGATTCCAGATCAATTCTAGGCACTACTCAAGCTGTCATCCAATCCATGTACATAGTTCCTTGCATTTCACAGCATGCACCTCCATGGTAGCCTTCTGGTACAGTACTAATCCAGTGCTTTCTCCTTTGCCTGTGCTTCCCAAATTGTCATGGTCCTCTGCTTATTCATCCCACATTGACTCTCCAATCCTCCCAAGAATGGCAGGATTGTCATTTTGAAGAAATGGAGGCATCAAGAAGTTGAATAACTTACCAGTAGACACGTAAGCTGGAACCCTGATCCTCTCCTTCCAGCAGAGTGCTGTGTGCACTGAACCTGATTGCCTCTTCAGGATTCCACTTCTCCAGTTTTGGTTGTGGCTTTATTTTGTTTAGTTTTTTAAAGTAAAACTTCACCTCATTATGATAGTTTTACAACACTTAAAATCTTATGTTCAATACGTTTTTCAAAATCATTTCAATATTTTGATCCCCAGTTTTTGTTGTGATCAGTTCACATCTGCTCTTTAGCTAACCTTTTTAATTTTGTTCATGACCATCCTACATTGCAGGCTTCTCAACCAGATGAGTTGACCATTGAGGAACATGAGGTGTTAGAAGTGATTGAAGATGGAGATATGGAAGACTGGGTAAAGGTATATTCCTTTGCTCATATCGCCCCTTCTTGTGTCATTTTCAGGAGTTTGTTTTGGTTCTTGTTATGCCCTATCTATCCAGATTGTGTGTGTAAACCTGTTTTGTCACATGTCTTTCACTCAGGCTCGAAATAAAGTTGGCCAAGTGGGTTATGTGCCAGAAAAGTACCTCCAGTTTCCCACCTCCAACAGTCTACTGAGCATGCTGCAGTCCTTGGCTGCTTTGGACAGTCGGTCACACACATCGAGCAATTCCACGGAGGCCGAACTCATTTCAGGCAGCCTCAACGGAGATGCCAGTGGTAAAGACTGAAACAAGGCACTCTTTATTTGGTCACATTTGGCCTAAACTGTATTACCCTGGAGTCTTCAGTAGGTTAAAAAGCACAACTCTATTCCTATTCTATAACATGTTTTCCTTTATTTGGTCACATTTATCCTTTACAGTAGAAACCTAAAGTTGATCTTCAGTGAGTAAAAAATTACAGCTTTACTCTTATTATGTATGATGGTCTTTTAGTTGTCACATTAGCATAGGGGTGGTTGCAAAAGTAACCTGGTCGTCATTGTCCTTACTGCATTTCTCTCTCTCATGCTACCTAGTCTGTTTCGTGAAAGCACTTTATGACTACGAGGGCCAGACAGATGATGAATTATCTTTTCCTGAGGGAGCAATCATCCGAATCTTGAACAAAGAAAACCAGGATGATGATGGCTTCTGGGAAGGGGAATTCAATGGGCGGATTGGAGTTTTCCCATCGGTGCTAGTGGAAGAACTTTCAGCCTCAGAAAATGGTGACACTCCATGGATGAGAGAGATTCAGGTACATGAAAGTTGAATTAAAAGATATTAAAATATCTGGCAAGTTGTTTGTGGGCAAGACAGAGCCTCAGCGGATCTATAAACTGGACAAAATTTTTTTTTAAAAAAAGATAAAGAACATGACTCCCAAGGAGTCTATTGACCCACGTAAAAGTGGGCTGTAGTCTCAGCCTCACCCCCACCACTCCAGTCCTCAGTTGCCAGGTTTCTGCAAAACCGAATTTGGGAAAGCAGGGCCTCATCAGTCAGGCTCTTGTGTAATGCCTGTATTACACCTTTACTCTCCCACATTCTGTTCTCTGAATCAGTTAACCAAAATGCTAACTTGTATGTGACATACAAAAGAATAGTTTGGTGGTGAGACAGAAACAAACCTGAAAGGGAACGGATTGTCTCTGTGGTTAGTTTATGTAGTAAAAATATTGGTTTGTTCTTTCCCTCACTGTCAGAGCCTCCCTGCCCAGCCCAGGTCGTGCCAGTCCATTTCAGAGAACTGATGAGCCTGCCAGAGCCCCATTCTTTATACTCATGTGGCCCTAGGCTTAGCTCATCACAGCAAAACTTGCCTTTATAGGAAACCCCTAATTTGGACCTGTCACAGCAGGCCTGACAGGTCCAGGACCATCAGGAACATGTCCGCCCACCTTCTGTGGTGTTATGACGGCTTAGCCCGACGTTCACAAAACCTGGAGAAGTCAGGAACTCAGCCGATTATTTTATCTTCACCAAAAAATACAACTTGTTCTTTTTTGTGTTCTTAACTGAATTTACTGAATTAACTAATTTGATATGTTTTCAATCGAATTCTAGAGAGTGGTTTGACATGATAACTGTTTAAGATAAACTATAATCAATGGTATCATGAGGAGATCTGTGAGAGGAAAATGGGTTTTAGGGTTTGAGATGGTTATTCTAGGCTCACGTCCCACTAATGAGGCTGACAGAAAAAATGTCAGTAGTCATAACTTAGCTCCAGAGAAAAGTAACTTGTCCAGAGTAGTCAGAGAAGCAAGCTAGTCTCTCCTTTCCGAGGTGACCACTTTGTAACCTCTGTTCACTTTGTGGCAGATCTCTCCTTCCCCCAAGCCACCCGGCTCCCTGCCTCCACTGCCGTTGTACGACCAGCCTCCCAACAGCCCTTACCCCAGCCCAGATAAGAGGAGCTCCCAGTACTTCCCCCGCTCTCCTTCAGCAAATGGTAAGGGTTCTCCTGGACTTGGGTCAAAATGCATTTCATTCAGAAATCCACTTATTCACCTGTAGGGCAAACAGACCTGCATTAGAAATTTTATTGCTCAACAACACAAATAAAATGAGCTTCTTTGGTTCCCTCCTTTAGAAAATAGTTTCCATGGTGAATCACCAGGATTCGCACAGGCACCAAGGCATACTCCTGAGACCTCATATGGGAAACTGCGACCTGTAAGTCTCTTATCTGGCAGGGTTATAGAATGTACAGTTCTTCCAAATTGAAAGTTAGAAAGTAGTGTTTTTCCATGGCCCCTTTGTTACTAATTCCCCCATGCAAGGGTGAGGTGGGTTTGGGAAGATAAAAAGAGCTCTTGAAGAGGAAGGCTGTAGAAATCACATCTTGGAAGGTCCAGTCTACACTGGCAGTTTTTTCTGAGTCATGGTGAGATACAAGATGATCGCTATGAAAATGTGTTTAAATTATAACAAGCTCTATGAGCATTAAAATGGTCTAACTGTGAAACAGAAGCACTTTTTTTTCAGCAAGCATTTATTGAGAACCTATTTTACAGGCCTATATTTGCCTCTTTGAGGGACACTCCATGCCTTTTTGAGGTTTGAGAGCTTCTATAGTCAAGGAGAATCTACTCTTACAAATCATCACCTCTACTTACTGCTCACTCTGCTATCTGCCATGGACTCAACCCCATCACCTCCCTGTGAAACAGCTTTTCCAAGGGCATAACTTTCACGTGCTGCTCCAGTGCATACTTTACAGTTTTATTTTCCTGGACCCCCTCATCAGCATTTGACACCATTCCTTGAATCACTCATTTCCTTCGGCTTTGTTCATTCAGCAGATGTGTATTGAGTGCCTTGTTAAGGACTTGGTCCTTTATCCTAAATGTGATAGGAAGCCATTGTAAAATTGTAAGCAGAACTGTGATATGACCAGTTTTGCATTTTTAAAACACTGCTATGGCAGTTATGTGAGGAATGAGTGGAAGATGGCAGAAGGGACATGGGGAGCCATCAGGAGGCTGAAGCAGGAGGGGATGGTAGCATGGACCGTGGGAAGTAGGGAGCCATCAGGAGGCTGAAGCAGTGGTCTAAGCAGGAGGGGATGGTAGCATGGACCGTGGGAAGAATGGCAGTGGAGAGAAGTGGGCCAATGTGTTGAACCAGCCTCTCCTGGTTTGCTTTCTATCTCTCTGGCCCTTGCTTTTCATCGACCTTCACAGGCATCTCTGGCCTCTATCCATCTCTGTTGATGCTTCTTAGGATTCTGTCCATGGGCTGGTTCTCTCGAAGTCATTAAACCCACTCTCCTTGTGTAATCTCATCTACTGCCACAGCTTCGATAACCATTTATTTACTGACAACTACCAGATTTATAACTGTTAATCCGATCTCTTCCCTGAGCTTCAGACTTGTGGGCATCTCAATGTACATGTACCAAACCCCCAGAACTCAGCAAAAATGAGTTCATTATCCTCTTTGCCAGTGCTCTGGCCTCCTACAAATAGTAATCACCAAATCCTGCCGAGTTTCCTTCAGAGACAGCTGTCAATCTTTCCACTTCTCTACTCCTCACAGCTATCACCAATTCAGGCTAACATTTCATTCAGATGACTACAGAAGTCTTCTAAATTGTCTTCTTAACCTATATCTTTGCCCACCTCTGCTCTTTTCTCCAAACTGTTAACCAGAGTCATCTTTTCATACATCTGATACTGCTGTTTAAAATCTACCAATGACTTGTCTTTGCCTACAGAATAAAGCTCAGATTTCACAACTTAACCCCAGCCTACCTCTCTGATCTTCTTTTGCAACTCTCCTTCCAAGACATGCTACAAGGTTTTCAGTTCTCTAAACATTGCTCTCTCTTGCTTCCAGCCCCAGGCCTTTGCTGTGAATGAGGCCTTTAGAGCTATAGTGACCCTTGTGCCCATGAGGCTTTCAGCCTGTGCAAAGACCTGATTGTTGTGTTTCACATTTCATCCAGAACAGTAACTCCTCAGTGTGGGAA